TTATAACATCGACTGAGATAAATAATAAAATGAAATATTAAAAACACGATGTATCTCGCTGCATTGCGCGAGTACTCTTCTAGTAATATTTATAACAAGTATTGATTTTGTAAATGAAAGCAGCTTTATGCATTTATAAAAGAAAATTCTCATTTTCGATGGTATCTTCTGTGGAATTAGGTTTGACATACAAATTGGAGAGCCTCCCGATCTCCTTTTCCACCGGAATCGTGAACCGTCTCGTCAACAACACAGAAAAAGAAAAGAGCAAATAGAAAAAGAAGAGAGAGAAAGATCAGGGAGAGAGAGAGAGAGGGGGCATAAAAAATGGAAACGACGAAGACGAACAAGACGACGTCGTTGTCCATATCTTAAACCACCGCCAAGATGCACTCCTCCTCCACAATCACCCGCCACCATACCATGCATTGGTGGCAAAACGCCTCTTCTCATTCTTCCTCATCGTCTCCCTCCTCCGACGATCATTTTATTAACCATAGCAATGGTACTCATGCCTCCAACCATACCATGCATTGGTGGCAAAACGCCTCTTCTCATTCTTCCTCATCGTCTCCCTCCTCCGACGATAATTTTATGAACCATAACAATGGTACTCATGCCTCCAAACTTGCTTCCTTGTTCACCAATTCCCATGGCCATGCTAATAGTTTCGGCTATATACAGCGTCGCCGCCTCACTCGTGCCAGAAAGCTCCGACACCTCACCGACAACGACATTGGCCACGCCCCCGCCCGCTTAATGGTCAAGCCTGTGCCGCTTCCTCTTCCTGAATTGGATTTTCTGTTCAAACACGATGCTCATAAGAAAGCCGGTGAGAAGAGAGCAACCTCTAACATTTATGACGGCGATATTAAGGAAATTCAACGGTAAATTTTCGACTATTTTCTTTCAATTTCTCAATTTCATTTGGACTTCATACTATTGATCCTTAACTGTTTCAATCCTTTCAATATCCTGTTGATTCTATCCGAAATTGCTTAGATCGAGATCGGGATCACTTAATAATGTTCCATTCCATCCCATGATTATAGTAACTTCTCGTTATACTTTAATTATCAGCTATAATCTACATACAAACAATTCTTATTACATTTGAAGCAAAATGAGCGGTACAATTTACACTCAATTGCCAAATGTGAATGATGATTTGATGCTAATTACGATAAGGAAACAATCAAAAAATATTCAAAATAAGAACATTTATGTAAGTAGTTTACTGACTTTGTGTAGGTTGATAGATATACTCGCATGTTTCATATAATGATGTAAATTACCTAATTTTTATGTATCGATCAAACTTGATTCATAAATCATAATCAGACTTTGCAACTGGATCATAAAGTGGCTACGTTTAGAACATAGAAACACCCTATATTTCACTGACCTGTATCTGGTTACCGCCAGTGGCCTTTTACCTTTGTTTCATAGATTAGGCTCAAACCTGTTCCCAGTTTATGGAAGAAAAAACTTGGATGTACTTCCTTGAGGAAGAATGGGTCTATTTTCTTTGAACCCTTGAGAAGAGAGAGAAGCATGCTCCAGCAACCAAATTTTAATTTTCTATTGCTTTGTTACGACAGGCATTGAATTTGAAGGAGTTGATGTAAATCTTGTTTCATTTCGAACTGCAGATGCTAATTTCATTTCCATTCTTTAAGCTAACTAGCAGCTGCAGGACTACTGTTATTAACCATGGTTATACAAAGACTGATCGTCAATTTCATTTCTTTGGCTTTGACGCCCTGAATGCTACCATTAGAATGATTTTTATCTTCATTTTCACAAATCCACACTTTAGGTGGCTTGATTCAATTTTCACATTCTTCTTGTTTCTAGAGCGGCTAGCGCAGATACTCTGAGGGATAGAGAGGACGTTGTATCTCAGAATGGCGGAGTTGTTTTAAGAAATAGACAAACGCACACTGGTTCTTTCAGTGCCCCAGCGAGTCCCGTATCAAGTCCAGTCAACTCACCAACAAGTACCACTGAGATGTTTTTGCCTTACTATATGCCTCCTCCAACACTTCAAATATGGTCTGCACGAGAGAACCCTATTCCAGATATAACTCCAGGTGCTGTAAATGTTTCTTGGAAGTTTCCTGATGCATACCTTGTTGGCAGTTCATCTACTAGTAGTCCAAGGCAAAAGACTGGTGTCAGAAGTTCTATAAGATCAAACTCCTCATTGCATAAGAATATGGCCATTGAAAATACAATGGGCCGGCGTGACAGCAATGCGCAGGCCATAGCCCACCCCTTGCCTCTCCCTCCTGGAGCCACCATGCCTCCGCCTTCTTCCCCTCCCCAAGTTAACAGTAGACCTGATTCGAGGCCAACAACACCAAGGCTAAGTCAATGGCAAAAGGGAAAGCTCCTCGGTTGTGGAACATTTGGAAGTGTTTATGTTGGCTCTAACAGGTTCATAAATTCTAATAGACTAGTCGAACTATCATCCATATGGTGCTAAAAACTAATATTTTTCTATTCTTTGATAGGGAAACCGGAGCTCTGTGTGCAATGAAAGAAGTCCAACTATTACCAGATGACCCAAAAGCTGCAGAGTGTATAAAGCAATTAGAGCAGGTTTTGTTGCTGTATTTTCTCCTTCCAATTGTGTAAGCTTTGTATACTTAGTTACTTAAATTGAGATTTTATATACACTTCCTTTGTTCATTTTCAGGAAATTGATGTTCTTAGCCAGCTTAAACATCCAAACATTGTGCAGTATTATGGTAGCGAAATAGTAAGTTCTTAATTGTTTCTTAGTTATGATCACTATTTCTCTGCTTTAAAGAAAATGGAGAGATTTAACCTTATACATGTGCAGGTCGATGATCGGTTTTACATTTATTTGGAGTACGTCCATCCTGGTTCAATCAACAAGTATGTTCGTGATCATTGTGGAGGAATGACAGAATCTATTGTACGCAATTTCACACGCCACATTGTTTCAGGACTGGCCTACTTACATAGCACAAGGACAATACACAGGTCCGGTTACATGTTTAGTTGCTTAATGGACACCAACTTCTGTCTGTAATTCTGTGTGCATTCCTTTTTCCCGGTGTGATTGAGGAGTTCTATTCAGAAATAAGCTAACCATTTTGTTCGAGTCATGAGATTTAGGATTTTCGGTTTTCTTTGATGACACCAATTTTCTAGTATCATAACTTCTAGCATGGTAACTCTGAAAATGATCACTTTCTGTAGAGACATTAAAGGTGCGAATTTGCTGGTTGATGTGAATGGGGTCGTCAAGCTTGCTGATTTTGGGATGGCAAAACATGTAAGCTCTTGCCCATCAGAAATAGCTATCTTTAATCAACTTAAAATAGAGTCGAGTACATGAAACAAATCACAAGTTGGCATCAGTATGCATTAATCTTTTCTAAGTGGTTTTTATCAGATCTATTTAGTGATAAAATAAATTCTGAAGTTTTTTGCATATTACGGTTCTTAGTAATCATGATGGGTGGTTCTCTTCTTTGATGCTGAGCCGTTCATGCATAATTATGGAGATCTCTCTGGTGGGGTATCACCATCAAAACTTATACCTTCTTACTGCATCCTATCTCAATGTTTACTTATACAGTAAACCAAACCTAATGAACCCGGTATATCCCACTCGAAGGTAGGGTCTAGGAGGGGTGGGATTTACTTATACAAATGCTGTATTGATTAGTGTACCCGTTGTATTTGCTTCTCCTGATGGTTGTATAATAATGATCCACAAAAAAGAGCCACATAGCTCAATATCATCGTACTTTGTATTAAAATTTTAATCTTGTTACACAGCTTAGCGGACAAGCTGGTCATCTTTCTCTAAAAGGAAGCCCTTACTGGATGGCACCTGAGGTACGTTTGTGCTCCAACATCAAGATATTTGATAATACAACATTCTTTCTTCCTTTCCCACACCATTGTCTTTTCTGCAGCTCTTACAGTTAGAGACGGAGAAAGATGTTGATCCAGATCTTGCTCTGGCCGTGGATATATGGAGTTTGGGCTGTACAATTATTGAAATGTTTGACGGGAAACCACCTTGGAGCGAGTATGAAGGGGTAAACAACATATTTTATTTGCTGTATTCCCATGCCAACATTAATTACCATTTCGCTTGTATATGCACATAATTGGGATATATGTGGAAAGTTACAGTTATTTATCACTTCTTTTGTCTGCTTCCTTCAATGCAGCCTGCAGCCATGTTCAAAGTCATTAAGGAGAATCCATCAATACCTGAGAAAATGTCTCCGGAAGGCAAAGATTTCTTACGTTGCTGCTTCATAAGGAATCCTGCAGAAAGGCCAACAGCTAGCATGTTACTCGAACATAGGTTCTTGAAAACCTCAAACGACTCACACGTTCCTTATAATATATCGATGGTACATAATTTTCAGTCATTCAGTGTTTTTTTCTACATTTTCATATATACATTTATAAAGTTCTCTTGTGTTTTATAGGATAAAGAGCTTTTACATCAAGAACTTGATCGATTGTTGGTTCCTGCATGTACATCTACCAGATAAGGGACACTGTTGAACAAGTATGAGATGCTTTCTTCTTTCCACTCCTAGGTTATATGCAAGCATTGTGACATTACAATTTCATTGTTGTAAATGAAAAAAGAAAGAAACTTATGTTATATCAAGTTGTTCATGTTTTTTTGTTGACATTCCAGCTTTGACTCTGCACGGTTGCCCTTGTCCGGCAAGATAGGCCAATGATCTCGCACGTATGGTGATGTGGCCAATGGACAGATGCGTCCGATCCTAGCCTCTTTGGCACGTATTCGGAATTCTATCATGCTGATGTGCAAAGGGAATATCATACGGTTCGACTGTTGTCGTTGGTGGCTTGAATTGAAGCCTTGTCTCAAGTTCATTGGTGGTTGGAGGGTTCAGTCTTCTAGTTAATCAATTAGCTTTCAGGCTTAAGAAGGGGGGGGGGGTCCTGGATTTCGGTTCAGGTTGTGTATTATATGATGCAGTTTTGGCATGATGGTTATGCATATATGTATGTTGGGTCAGGTTCAGGAGAAAAACACTTGGTAACCCGTTAATCTGCACGATATACAAGTAATTTGCAAGCAATTTTTTCGGTATGTACATGTGCATAACATGCGCACGTTCATAAAAACCAAAAAACTGCTTTAATTACCGTATGTGCATGCACAACCCATCCAGACGAATGGTTACCATAGTGTAACTTAAATTTTCATTTTCTTGGGCTTTTCCTGAAACCTCCCCATTCGAGTTGAGAAGTTAAAACTGTGCATGGAAAGATCTTTCTGTAAATTTTAACCCCAAAGATTGAGAAAAAGTACATATCAGCCCTTCTAATTTTTGAAACATATTTTGCTCCTCCTTTATGCTTGCTGCTTCATATTCTTTGGCCTTCTTAATGATATAACTTTAGACTAGGGTTCAAAATGCTTTGCTCTATTAGTAATATTTTTTTTTTGGAACAAACATAAATAAAAAATTTATAGGCTAAATCTATTAATATCCCCTTTTATATGAGTGGTATGTGAGTAAAGAAGGGCTATGAAATTTAAGTAGTGTGGCGTGAAAAAATTCAAGCTCTGAAAGAGTATAGGATTTCACGTGCCCCATGCTATTTTGGTAATTGAGTTTTTGATTTTCAAAAACGGCTTGATGAATGGATGAAGTTATGATTGTTTGCTCCTTGATGAACGTCAACACATGTATTATAGACAACAAATGGATTAGCGGAATAAATTAGATGATGAGCCAAAATTGAACAGATTAAAAGCACAAAATTTTATATTACGTTAAATTTGGTCAAGAATTGGGTTGTATCAGGTTAACCTTTTAACACATTTAAATAATTCAAAAAAACACCAATATTGTTTATTAATATTATAAAGTATTTGACAAAAACTTTTTAAAACCATTTTTTATACACAAAGTATTGTTTATTGATACATATTACTTAAAATTCAAGATTACAAGTAAATTGTGCGTAAGTACAACTTATTAAAGCTCCATGTTTAAATTCGTGTAACTAACTACAGATAAACATTTCATTTTTAAATATAAAATATCTAAAATAAAATTAGGATAATCATTGAGTTCTAACAAAATACTTAATTATTATCTTAATAAAAAATTATATTATTAAACTTAAATTAAATTAGAATTTACACAAAACAAGAACTTTTAAATAGTTAATTTGATACTGATATCATATACTCTTTTTAAAATTTTATGATATTTAGAATTTATATTTTATTAAAAAAATAAAAACATTATCGTTTTCTCAAAACCACATAAAACCGTATTATATCGATATAGATAAAGAATAATACAAGACATTTAATTTAAATATGTCTCGATGCATTGCTTGAGTACCCTTTTAATTGTTTATTATCCATTTAATCTCATTTTTTGTCAATGTTTTATGTTTGTACCAAAGGAGCAATCAACGATCATGCCTATTTTTTAGATAGTTGGAATTGAAGCAAAGAGCTTGTTAGTTTTGAGTAATATCTCGTGAATTAATATCAATATTATAATTTTTTTTCTCTTACTCTAGATCGTATATAGTGTAGTTGTATATTTTCATTCCCTAAGTCAAAAACACCGATAAATTAAATTCGAGAATAAAAGTGTTTTTGCTTCAGGGGTATAAAGTAAAAAAGAACAAGAAACAGGGAGAGCTTGTTTTGCCACCCGATAGAAGTTTGAATTTGGAATATATTGGTTTTGGAAATAAAATTTTGAATTTTGTTTCTAAAAGTGCACCACCAAAAATGGTACAAGATATAGGGATGTATTTTATTAGGGGTGTGTTTGGTGTTCAGACAGGACATGACATGATATAATAACTGTTCAATGTTTGGTAAGATAAACCTGGACAAAACAGAACAAGTAAAATGATCAATTTATCCTTGATGAGTTGTTTATTTTAATTATTTTATGTAATTTATTAAATTATAATAGAATAATTATTTTTTATAATAAAATATATCATTCGAAGTTTTCTTTAAAACAATTAAAATGACACAAAATAAAAAGTTTATGTAGTTTTCTATTTTTATTGTTATCTCTTTTCTACATTATTCTTTATTATTAATATATAATAAATTATATAAATTACTACAAATATATAAACCGTATAAAAATAATATTTTGATGACAGTAAAATGAAAGATTAAGAAACATAAAATACAATAAATAAAATTTAAAGATTGAATAAAATGTAAAAAAGAGACCTATTTGATATTTTAGAAGAAAATTAAGTTTTATTTTGAAGTTATATTGATAAAATATAAGTTTGTTTCACCTTGTTCCACCCTGTTCCATGGGGTAGGGGTGAAACAGGCATGTTCCACTTTGTTTCACTCTGTTCCACATAAAATTCATGTCAAACATGGGACATAGATCCTGTCATGTTCTGTCTTTGTCCAGTGTATCAAAGGCACCCTAGAGACGTCTACGAGTGAAGAATAAGATATCTAAGTTAATTTAGAGAAATAGAGAGACAAAAGAGGGTAAAAGAACGAAAACCGACAAATTTAGTTCGAGGTTTATATCAGTGATTAAAAGTAAACTACCATTCCAAACTTCACACTATTGGAACATTTACTAAATGCTTATCCAGATAGATGTTTACCAAGTCATATTGTTTTACCGGATGAATATGACAAAGACTAAGGATCTTACCCGATAGCGAAAGCAAGGACTAAGTGTCTTATCCGATATGTGCGGACAACGATTCTTACCATGGTTAGCGCTTAGCGGGTAAATTGTTGCATTTGATACCGTTTTGGAAGACTAAAATCCTACCTACTATGAAAGTGATGGTGCTGAATTTTGCCGATAAACACTTATCCGAGTAAACGTTTGATAAATGTTACCTATTGGTGAGTTGAGGATTTCGATTCAATTGGGTGAGGTTTTGGCACGAATCAATGGCCCTTAGACTATAAATTTAGCACCACCATCGTCTATGATATCGTGTTCGTGATGTGTAAAAACAGGGGCAGACACAAGGCATTGGGGTGGGGGCAAAGGCCCCCAACAAAATGTTGAACTGCAGTAAACACTCCTTTAACATGTAGGAAGGCTCACATGCTTTTTACCTATTGTGCCCCCAACAATTAATATCTAATTCCGCAATCTCATTTATAACACACAAAAATTTATGCAACTGTTTTAATGAGCTGTTAGGATTTAAATTGTTAGAACCAATCAATTGTTTATTCTCTATAAAAACTATGTAATCTATATTATATTATAAAGCAATTGACAAAAACTTTTAAAAATCATTTTTTATGCATAAAGTATTATTTATTAATGCATATTACTTAAAACTCAAGATTGCAATTAGATTGTATGTAAATACAACTTACTAAAGTTCCATATCTGAATTCGTGTAACTAACTGCAGATAAACATAATCAAATACAGAATAAACATCTTATTTTAAATATAAAAAATCTAAAATATAATTAGGATAATCATTGAGTTTTAACAGAATATTTAATTATTATCTTTATAAAATGTTAAATTATTAAACCAAAAATAAATTATTTTGTTATTAAACTTAAATTAAGTTATAATAAAAAAATAAATTAAAGAAATTACATAAAAAATGAGAATTTTTAAATAGTTGATTTTGTATTAACATTGATATATATTTTTTCAAATTTTTATGATATCTTGAATTTTATATTTTAGTCAAAAATAAAATCATTATTACTTCTTTAAAAAACACATAAAATCGTATTATAACATTGATAGAAACTAATAATAAAATAGAACACTAAAATCGAGATTTGTCTCTCTGCATTACGCGAGTACTCTTCTAATAAGCTTATAAGGTGTTTTTTTTTATTTCTTAACCAGTTTTTTAAGATATCTTTAAATTTATTTCTAAAAATATTAATAAAACGCTTTATTTCAAAAAATGTCTTAAGAACTTGTTAAAACAATTAAAAGCGACTTGCAAACTTTTTTTTTTAATTAACCTGGATATCCAACTCGCTATGTGAGCCGACTAATTCCAGGGCAACCACCTGCTTTGTAGATAGCCCGGGATAACCGCATTTGAACCTCCGTGACCACAAGAGGATTTTTATTTCTCATTGGATTTGAACTTGAGACCTCCTGGTACTTTTGACCTTTTGAGTCAAGTTCAAACCAATCAGACACCACCCTTGTAGTTACTTGCAAACTTTTTGTAAACACTTTTACATGGAATCGGAATTAGTTATGAACCAACTACACAGTTCCCAATTGGATCAGGTCGTCATGAGCTGGACTCTAACCATAACATAAGCACGAAAGCCAAGATCTTTAAGAAAATGGATTCCTATTTGAAGAAACAAATCCATCCACAAATAACAAGATATAAAAAAAGTTATGGATTTTTTTAATCTAGAAGTCAAAGCAAATCGCAAAGGGAGTTTTATGTGTTGACCAGTGTGAAATCCAATTTGGAGCATTTGTGTAGTTTGTTGAAAACTTGAAATCCAATTTGATACAACAAACAAATTCGTAAAC